ACGTGTGCTCTTCCGATCTACATCTCTTGTGATATTTTGAAATTGTGTGGGTCTTTTGAAATAAAACTTGGCACAAAATTTTCTTTTATCTGGGTGGACATTTTACCCACTATAACGATCGATTCCGCGCGGGGCCCGAAATCACCTCCTTAACCCGCTATACCCTTTATTTTACAACATGTTATCCTTGTATATCCATGAATTATGTGAATCGTCCAATCCCAACCATTTCACGTATACCTCGTTCCCTCTTTTACGCAAAACTTTTTCGACGAGGTACACATCGGGATTAGCAACGCGATGCAGTTCGTATTCATAGAATTCTCCGGCTATGGGTTTTCCGCGAGAATCTTTCAAAAGATACGTTGCGGGATTAGTTTTCTGCACCTTGATGATTTTAAACACTTCCGTGGTCCAATTTGTCGTATAACCCTTCTCAAAAATTGTCTTGAATTTACTCACGCGCACCGAGTCACCTACTTTGAATCGCGCGGGTGCGGCGATCTCTACGCGGTTATACACCGTGGTTAGCTTGTTGACGATTGCGGGGGTGACATCAATGGGTCGCATACCGATAGTTCGGTGTTTTCGCGCGTTGTATTCTGACATGAGACGCGGTAGCAAATCAATCCATCTACAGTTTCCATTGTGTGTAAACTGCTTCCACATGCTGTTTTTCAACGTACGGTTGAACCGCTCGACGACTGATGCCTTCATTACGGAATATGTAGAATAATGATTGATGTTATGTTTCTTTAAGAGATTCTGCACGTTAGCGTTATAAAATTCCTTTTCCCTATCGGTCTGTAAATTTTTCGGACATCTTCCATCGTGTCGAATTATCTCTGCGATCGCTTTAGTCACATCACTTCCGCTCTTGACCTTGAGAGGTATGGCCCATGCATGCTTACTCAGCACATCGATAACGGTGAGAATGTAGTGGTAACCTCTGTTGAATCGCATGTAAGGACGCATTTCGACCACATCCGCCTGCCACAGGTCATCGTATCCGCAAACTCCTGCTGAAAATGTTCGATTAAAACCGATTAAAACGTAATCCGTTTTAATCGATTTTAATCGGTTTTAATCGGTTCAATCCGCGCCCGGATTAAAAAGTAATTAGATTTAATTCCGAACAAATTATAATTAGTTTTAATATTACTTTTGCGGATTATTTCTAATCTGAAATCATTATATTCTAATCCATATTGTCAATTCAAATAAATCCGAATAAATATAACCGTATGAATATATAATATCCAAAATAATCCGCCTAAACCGTATATATATTTTTTAACATCTAAATTTGTTTTAGTTACAAAAACACTGATTCAATAAAATCGATTGTAATCCGTCTAAATCCGATTCCGCTAGGAGATCGGAAGAGCACACGTCT